ACCTTCCCGGTAGCTGGAACTACAGGCGCGCCCTACCACGCCCGGCTGATTTTTTGATGTATTGTAGAGGTGCGGTCTCGCCAAGGTGCGGGTCTCGAACCCGCGGGCTCAGGCAATTCACTCACCCCTGCCTCCCAAGGCGTGGGATTACAGGCTGAGCCACTGAGCCCGGCGGGGTGAGATTTCTAAAGGGTGTTGGCTAGACTGGAGCTTTGCCTGAGGGATGTGTCATTGACGGGCTACAGGAATGGGAGGGGCAGCCAACGGAGTGCAGGGACTAAGGGGGGTGGGGGAGGCACAGCCAGGTGAGGGAGGTGATGAGCTGAACCAGTTTGGAGCTATGCTGTATGACTGTGATGGGGGGGCTGGTGAGAAGTGTTTCAGGGTCAAACCAGAAAGATGGAAGGTATGATAGGTGGGCCTTTTTTTTTTTTTTTTTTTAAACCTCCTGAGCATCTCTTTATGTGGGGCGTGGGGGCTCACGCCTGTAATCCCAGCACTTTGGGAAGCCGAGGCGAAAGGATTGCCTGGGCCGACGGGTTCGAGACCAGCCTGGACAACGTGACAAGACCGTCTCTGCAATAATTTTTTTTTTTTTTTTTTTTTTAATTAGCTGGGACCGGCGCAGTGGCTCAAGACTGTAATCCCAGCACTTTGGGAGACCGAAGTGAGGGGATTGCCTAAGCACACGGGTTCGAGAACAGCCTGGGCAACTTGGTGAGACTTCGTCTCTACAATAAATCAAAAAATAACCGGGTGTGGTGGCGCGTGCCTGTAGTTCCAGATACTTGGAAGGCTGAGGTGGAAGGATCGCCTGAGCCCAGCAGGTCCACGCTGGGGTGGCCATGAGTGTGCCACTGTACTCCAGCCTGGGCAATGGAGTGAGACGCCAACTCAAAAAAAAAAAAAAATTAGCTGAGCTTGGTGGTACATGCCTGTAGTTCCAGATACTTGGAAGGGGGAAGGAAGGATCACCTGAACCCAGCAGGTCGAGACTGTGGTGGCCGTGAGAGTGCCACTGCACTCCAGACTGGGCAACACAGTGATACTCTGACTCAAAAATAAAAATAAACATATCTTTCTAATCCATCTCCTTCTCTGCACCCCCCACTGCCATTGTCATCATTTTCTCTCAGATTTTGCATCAGCTTCCTAAAAGCACTGCCTGACTCCAGTCTGCAGAACTCCAGATCACCACAGCAGCCAGTGGAATCAGAGCCCATTTTTTCTTTCTTTCTTTTTTTTAAATATCCAAGGCTGGTGTCTGGTTCAATATTAGGAACAATGAGAGCCTATTTCTGACTGTATTTAGCCTTTGCTTAAAAACATTTAGCCAGCTGGGCTCGGTGGCTCAGCCTGTAACCCCGCGCCTTTGGGAGGCTGAGGTGAGTGGATTGCCTGAGCCCTCAGGTTCGAGACTCGCCTGGGCAGCGAGACCCCAGCTCTACAATTAATCAAAAAAAATCAGCCGGGCGTGGTAGCGCATGCCTATAATTCTGGCTACTAGTAAGCCTGAGGCAGAAGGATCGCCAGAGCCCAGCAGGTCGAGGCTGTGGTGGCAGGGAGCGGCCACTGCACTCCAGTCTGGGTGACAGAGTGAGATTGCAACTCAAAAAAAAAAAAATTCAGCCAGCCTGAGCAATGTAGCGAGCCCTCGTCTCTACAAAAAATATTTTAAAATTAGCCAGTTGTGGTGGCATGCACCAGGAGTCCTAGCTACTGGAGAGGCTGAGGCAGGAGGATCACTTGAGCCCAGAAGTGAGGCTGCAGTGAGCTATGATGGCACCACTGCACTCCAGCTTGGACGACAAAGCGTCACCCTATTTAAAAAAAAAAAAGAAAAGCCGGGCTCGGTGGCTCAGCCTGTAATCCCGCACCTTTGGGAGGCTGAGGTGAGTGGATTGCCTGAGCCCGCGGGTTCGAGACCCGCCTGGACAGCGAGAC